AATGATCTAAAATAGAAAATGTTATTTGGAAATGCCGAATATTTTTATTCGATTTTTGTGAAATGACCCTGCAAATAAATCGAATAGAAGCTATACTGTATAGTAAGTAATTATAAATTTACTATAAAATATTTTTTCAAGACAGGTTTTTCCAAACGCGACAGCTTTTTCGCATGACTGTATATTCATATTGATTAAAATATAATTTTATTATTTTTGATTTAAATAATTTGTTATGTGTTTTATTATTTTTAAAAAATTAAATATATATCAAATCAAAATATTTAGAGTGTTGTGAATCGCTATTTAAACAATAAAAGATCTTCCTGTTATTTTACAAAGCTAATGATGTTAATATATATAGTTTAAAAATAATTGTTACTAATAATGATTTAAATTTGTTGCATATTGAGTGCAAAGGAATCAATTATTTTACAATCAACATTCAATGTTGAATTTATTTTTTTTGTTTTTGAATCAAACAACACTAATCAATTCATTTTGATCGAAAAAATTCCCCAAACTTTGCAATTTATAACATTATTTAATTAAAAAAATATATTTTAATAAAAAATAAGAATTTTTATTTAAAAATAATGTTTTTAAGTTTTTATCTTTTTTAATAAGTTTACTTCAATTCAAAAACGATAATTTAAAAAAATAAAGATTAAGAATGCATTCATTTTAAATAAAAGATAAAAAAATTAAATTAACAATAAGTGTGTAGTTAAAAAAATATTAAAAAATATTTTTGCAACAAAAATATTTATTGTGCGTTTGTATGTATTTATTATTAACAATTTCCCGATATTTATAACTTTTTCATATACAATAAATAAAATGTATTTTACAATAAAAAATTTAACAAAAACCTTTATTTTGTAATTAAACTATTTTTATGACCTTTTTATATTGTTTTGTATTCAAATGAACATTTTTGTGAAATTTAAACAAAAAAAGCAATTATAGACTTTTTGAATTAAAAAATATACAATCTGCTTACAATTTTTCTTAATATATCTTGATTTATAACTTGTTCAAACTGTAGTGTCTAAAAACAATCTAATAAGTACCAAGTTGAGGGTTTATCAATAACCTTGTTTTTGATGTGTTAATAATAAAATAATAAACAAAATAGTAATTTATATTTATCAATACTTTAAACACTTTGTATTACATAATAATAGTGATTAATATACAATTTGAACACGTTTTTTGATGAACTTAAATTTGAATATAGTTGTATGACGGTGTTATCATATGTATTACTTTTCAATTCATTTATATTCCTTTTATTCACAATAAACTTATCTTATTTATTCACAGCTGGTTTATTAAAATTATCATTTGAAAATAAGACAAGTATAAACGCAATGAATATCAAATTAGATATATTTCACAATAATCACACCGATCTTCGCAATTTTAATTATTCTAACAATTGTAATAACGTGTTTCAATACCCTAAGAATACCAAACGTGATTTGTGACTTACAGCATATTCCTTTAATGATTACAACTCCTTTGTTCGACTTAACAAAAGCATTGATTTCATTTTTAGTCTTGCAAATTCATCAATTTATCATGCAACTAAAAAGATATTATTGATGTCACCTGCACCTTGTAAAGACTTTGAACATATGTATGAGAAATATGGGATATCAGTCGACATGTTTGATGTTATTATTCACAATGCTACGAATCAAGGAGACTCTGCTACACGAAGAATGTTTGCATGGAGAGAATGGTTATACCCACGTCGTCATTTATATGACAGAGTGTTCATTTCAGACCTCCGGGACATTTTCATATTTGGAGATATCTTCGCCACATTCTCTCAAAACGATTTTATCGTTCAAATTGAGTGTTTGAATAACAACACCAACTGCTTTACGTTTAAAAGGAAGACGGACTACACTTGGATGTACAAAACAATAGGAAAAGAAGTGGCTGATTCATATCGAAAAAACAGTTCAAAAATAAGTAACATGGGTACTATTTTAGGGGGAACTGATAAAGTGTTAAATTATTTACAGACATTCATTGAAAATACTGATTTTGAAAAATGGAAGATATGGGGCTATGACCAGTCATTACACAACTGGTTGATATACACAAGAAAACTGGACTATTTAAATCCGGTTTTTGAAAGTTGTACTCAAAGAATGTGTTATGAAGAACGAGCAACTTTTGTATATAACAATATTACGAAAATGGTTTATAACAAAAATACAAAATGTTCGCCTGTTGTAAGACACAAAATATTTTATAAAAGTAATTACTACCAATTCTCTAAAAATTGATTATTTTTATGTTATTTTGCTGATTTATTTGAATAAATATTTTTTTTAACAATTCAAATATATATTAAAACTTTGAACGTTTTTATTGGATACACAACAACATCATATGCTTCTGCTTCGTTTGATTAAATATTTGTCGATTTTTTTTCCCGTTGAAAATAGTCTTGTAGAATTTGCATCATATTTGAAATACAAGTTGATCAACCAATCAACACAACATCGACAATGCTTCTTTTGTCTAATTTGACGTCTTGCAGCACTTTCTCGACTGGCTGTCATCGACTTGTTGAGGTTGATTTTTATCTATTCGAAGCGTGCTCTTGTGATTGGTGTGTGGAAGTCGGTGTATTTTTTATTATCATTTAAAGTTTAATATTTTTTGAAGAGCATTTTATGCTTTTCTTTTCTTATCTTTTTTGAATTTATTTCTGTTTGATAATTTTTCTCTTTTTAAGTTTTTATTACCAAGTCTTTATCCTTTTAAAATAAAAACAAATTTGCAATTGACATTATTATTGCGGGTTTTAAAGCCAAATATGTGGTAAAATCATTATATTGTACCAGTATGATGGCTACTTTTGATTGGCCAAAATCACACATTGATAGAATTTATTACTCTATTTTGAATATAAAATATTCACTCTATTAAAATAAAGCCTGAAAAAACGAATTTGTGTTAAAAATCTCAAAATATTATTTTAAAATAAAATTAATAACACTAATAAAATAAACTATTTTTTTAATTCATTTATCTATTGTTTATATATTAGTTAATATTATAAAATTATTTTTATTTTAATTAGTTAATAAAAAATAAAAATCCCATAATATGAAATTAATAAGCATAGAGTTCATATAAATATATTCACAATAATAATTACTTCTTTATGTTTCCCATACTTGGATATACTTTGCCCTGGGTTTAAACAAGAAGTAGAATTTGGAATATATGCAGGATGAAAAGTTAACTTGAATCGAATCACAGTTCCGAATATTTTTTTAATCAAAGTTTTTCTAATATATATTATTTTCCATAGTTATAAATATGAAATTAATAAAAATATTTCAAAATTGGAAAGTTAATTTATCTTAAAATTATATGGTGTTAGTGTCATTTATTTCAATTAATTTTAAAACATTTAAATACTTTCTCGACAAGTAAAATGACTTAATAATTATAAAACAAATTAAAGTTATATACCATTTGTTTTGATATTTTATATATTGTTATTAAGAATGAGAATATTCAAATTAAAAATGTGAATCAAATTCAAGACTTTTTAAAATTAGATATAATTAGCGATTCTAAAAATTATTTTATTGTTATTTAAAGAAAAGTTCTATATTACAATAAGATAATAAATAATTACAATTGAAATAAATAAAACATGTTATAATATAAAAATATACAGAATATACAAAAACAAACTTCGTTAACTAAGTATTTTTGTTTGATTATATAAAACAATTACTTTTGATTTTATAATATTAACTGGTGTTATTGTTATAAAAATATTTTTAACACAAATTTGTATTATTTAGTAAAATTTATTATTAAATAGATTTTTAAAAATATGAATAAAATTTCACTACACACCTCTGAAATATAATAAACTACACAAAAAAAATAATTGAGACCAATTTAAGTGTCAACTTAAATTTAAATTTCAAAACATTTGTTAATGAGTCAGTTAGATGGATATCACATGGTCATTGTTTCAAGGTATCTGACAACACTCCATGATCTTTTCAATATCGAGAAGATAAACAAGAAATACAATGGCAATTTGACTAAGTTCCATGCCAATCCGATTCCAATCAACAAGGACTCAATAAAATACTTCCCGAACATTGAAACACTCAATATTTGGTCAGACTCTGCTGAAACGTTTGGCAATGAAGTTTTTGGTCCAAAGTTATTAAAGCCGAAGAATAAACACACTTTCTTCCATATCAACGTTTGGTGCGAAGTAGAGTATAATCTTACTCAAACACAAACACCCGCAGAAGTCTCTTATAAAAACATAACTTACACTATGGATGATTGTAAAAAATATGGCGAATTAATTCCAAAAACAGTGACTAATTTGGGTTTAAGTTGCTTCAACAGTACTCAGAAAACGGCCATTACAATACCCAACAATGTGACTTCACTTCAAAGAAGTTGTTTCTTCAATGCGGTTTCTTTGGTTTCTGTTAAGCTTCCAAAGTACTTAAAAGAAGTTGGGGAGTCGTGTTGTCATGTCTGTAAAGATCTGACGTCGTTTGATATGCCAAACACAGTGACTTCTGTTGGCGCAGGTGCATTTTTCGAGTGCAAAAAATTGACTATGTTGAGTTTCCCTGATGGGGTGACTAAAATCCCAGAACAATGTTGCCATAATTGCGAAGGACTTAAAAGTGTCACTTTCCCCCCTTTCATAAGTTCAGTGGGTTTATTCGCTTTTGAAGAGTGTTATTCCCTTCAAAGTGTTGAGATCAAAAACTGCCAATATTGCATTGGGAAAATGGCGTTTTATAAATGCAGCAACATCACTTCGTTGAGCATTGGAAGGACTTTGAAAGAACTTGGAGATGAGTGTTGCTATAAATGCGAGAAACTCGAGAAAGTGGAATTGCCAAGTTCTATCACTAGACTTGGAACTTGCTGTTTCATGAAATGCTCATCTTTGGCGTCTATTAAATTGCCAGAAAAACTGAGTAAAGTATCATACAATTGTTTCGATGGATGTGAAAAATTGGAGGAAATTGTTATTCCAGAAGGGGTTGTTGTTTTTGAAGAGTGCGCATTTAAAAATTGCGTCAACTTGAAAAAAAGTTGTTATACCAAAAAGTGTTAAAAATATTCAAAAAGAATCTTTTTCGGGATGTTCTAATCTCGAGTTGGTTGTTCCAAGCACTGTGACAGAACTCGGAGAAAATTGCTTCTTGGGATGTTTAAAAGTTGATGACATGACAAAAAAAGAGTAAGAAAAGTAATTTAATAATTTAAAATTATTATAATGTTTTATACAAATGAAATAATATCTATATTTATCATACCATTATTAAATTTTCAAGTGATTTAAAGTGTTCAAAAAATTCAAAGCAAAACTTTGTATTTTTTTTTAATTTTACTTTAAAAACATTTATATACGAATAACAACCATAAATATTTTTGATCTGTTGTTCTTGTTTTTATTATACATAATGACTATTATGTTCTAAAATAAATGTTTTGTTAAATCTAAAATAGTCTTATTCTTAAAAGAGTGAATTTTTATTTTCATTTCAATTGTCATTATTTTTTTTGAACTTATTTTATTGTTTAACAATATAAATTTATAAACTAAACAACTTTTAGCTTTGCATTTTTAATTAATAAAAATGTTTATAAATTATTCAATTACATTTATTTACATATAACAAATTACACACAAATTTAACAAAATAATTCAAAAATGGGTTATTATAGCATTAGTACCCATCAAAGTCGATATTGGTTGTTGGAGAGAAACACAACAACACAACGAAGAAAGTGAAGTGCAGTATTTAAAACACATCAATCCAATACTTTTAACTGTGATTGGAACAACAAAATTCAGTAATGAACTACATTCCATAAAACGCCATATCTCCAATTTAATGGCAAATTTTGGTATTTGTACATCCAACAATAAAACACAATTTTAAACATAAAATTACTGGTTTTTGTGAGTGTAGTTAGTAATTTAATTTCAACTAAATTGACCAAATTTGCAAAACATAAGTGTTTTCCTAATACAACACTTTCATCAAATAAAATGTTTTGTAAATTTGAACACCCAACAAACGACAAATCGTCGACTAACAACACACTTTGAGGTATTTCAATTTCAGTCAAAGATTTGCAATCTGCTATTTTTTTGTACAATATTATCACTCCCCTCTTAATTTCCATGTATTTTAATTCACAAATTTTGATCAAAAAAATCATTGTAATTCGCATTTTTTACAGCAACAAACTTTAAGTATTTCTCCAATTTACTGCACCCATACAATGTAAAGTCATTAATTTCAATTTGTGTATCTTTAGTTGTTATTTCAGTCAAATTTTTAACATTAAGGGATTCATGAGGATTGTTAAATTTTCTGAGGATGGTAAATATCTTAAACATAATTTCTTTCAATTTGGATTTTTTGCCTAAGATCAAAAAGGTATATTTTGAAACACTTGATTTTCTTTAAAAATGCTATTTATGGATTTTTTAAAAGATGATTCT